ATCAATGCATGTCTTTATTACAGAAACACCTATTAATTTTACAAAATTGTAGTGCACTCAACATAGAATGCTCATTTTTTAAGAAGAGGGTTTTCATTTTCTCAATCAGCAAGTGCTAAATAAACTTAAATTGTTTTTTGCAGTTACTCTAATTAAGTGACTCATAAATTTCATAGAATTGCCAATTTTAACCACAGCTAAAAAAAATTAGAAGAAAAACCTTTACAGATCAATATAATTATATAAAAAAAATTTCTTCTTCCTTCAGTTAATTAACATTTGAATCCAAATTCTTGATTAACATCCAAATAACAGCGGGAGAACATAAAAAGTTCAGCAGAACAAAATTGAAGTATCTATAAATTTCTGTGGGTAAGCAGGAAATACCTGAACAAATTGTTGTTGAATATGATGATGATTCCTCAATTCAATACTTCAGAAGGTGCCTATCTAGCTAGGGATGTGCAAAAACCGAACTGACCGATAAAAGTATTATTGGTTTATTGTTATTGGGTTAACGGGGTTTTAATGGTTTTATAAAAAAAATTATTGGGTTATCGGTTCGGTATTGGTTTTTAATATTGGGTTATTGGATAAACCGATAACCCATTAAGACTAGTAATTTACTACTTTTACTTGTACATAAATATTATATATTAATCTCAATACCGTAGTAGTTACTATCTTTATCCTTTAGCCTTCAATTCACACTTCACAGTGACTTTGAGTTCACAATTTCACATTATAAAAAATGTTAAAATCTAAAATAAGAACCTTATTCCTCTTAATTTTTGTATAGATATTTGTTATTATTGTTTCTATTTTATGAGCATTTGTAAAGTTACATTATTGTGTCTTCACATCAAATTTATTAGAAAAGTCATATATTTTTTTTATAAGTATTTTCTTATTGGTTAAACCGAAAACCAAACCGTTAAGGACCAAAACCGATAAACCGAAAGCCGATAAAAAATATTTTATTGATTTGATTATTGGTTTAACATATTTAAAAATCGAAAACCGATAAACCAATAAACCGAACCGATATTACATAAAACTGAACCGAACCGTCTGATGCACACCCCTATATAGGGGTGTGCAAAAACCGATTTAACCAATAAACCGAAACCAAAAAAAACACTATTGATTTATTGATATTGGGTTATTGGGCTAACGGTTTTTTAAACGGTTTTTGCTAAAAATTTTTTTATTGGGTTATTGGTCGGTTCCGGTTTTATAATTTTGTTAATGGTTAAACCGATAACCCAATAAGACTATACTAAATTTACTAGTCTTATTGTTAATGGTTAAACGATTGTTACTTTCACACTTTTTGTTAATGGTTAAACGATTGTTACTTTCACACTTTTTCCTTTGAATGTGTCTAGTGTCTAAATTTGCAAGAAAAATGATTGTTACTTTTATGATTATTACTTTCATGCCAAATGCTGGAAAAATCATATGGTTTATTTGAAAATTTTCTTATCGTGTATATAATATATATGAGTATTTTCTTATTGGTTAAACCGAAAACCGAACCGTTAAGTACCATAAACCGATTAACCAAAAACCGATAAGAAATTAAATATGTTATTGGTTTGGTTATCGGTTTGAAGTATTTACAAACCGAAAACCGATAAACCGAACCAATAACACCTAAAACCGAACCGAACCGACCGATGCGCACCCCTACCCCTATATCTAGCCTTTAACCAGTTAGAGAAATCAGTTCCACCTCAGTCGTGACTTTCCACCTTTGTTCCAGATATGGTGCATCCATGTGGTGTGGTTATTCTATATCAGAATAATAAAATGTTTTTTACATAATTAACATGAGGTAACAACTTGGTAGAGTTATCAATCATTCAGATCACCAGTAATCTCCACATGAACAGACTCCATTCTTAAAATGGTGGAAACGGTGCATATCACGTACAATAATTTCTCGTTTCATGACAAGCGAGATGTACTTTGTTGCAGTATGGCAGTCACCACAAACCCGGAGATTTTTCCTGATGTGAATAGTTGTACCAGCACTCGTATTTAAAAGCCCAAATGCAATAGCAAGCTTCTCACTGTGGCTCTTTAGCAATTGCTCCTGAACAACATCTTCCACATCGTGAATTGAATCAGTATCAGGTATATATCCAGCAGCTTTAATCCTATCAAATAGTTTCTCAAGGTAAGCATAGATCTTCTCTGACTGAGGATGGCTAGTGCTTCCTGAGTAGAATGTGTGGACCTCGTTTCTTAAATCAACTAGACTCCATCCAGGTGTCTTTTGAATACCTTTTCTCTCCATCATAGTTCTGACGTTAGCAACTTTATGCCATATTGAAGCCGTGGCGTACATATTAGCAAGAAGCACATGATATCCACCATCATCGGGATCTAGCTCAAATAGCTTGTCTGCTGCCTTCTCCCCCAAATCTACATTTTTGTGAATCTTGCAAGCTCCCAACATTGCACCATAGACATTGAGTCCTGGTCTGATAGGCATATTATCAATGAAGTTCCAAGCCTCACTCAGCCGACCAGCTCGACCAATTAGGTCAACCATTGCCCCATAATGGTCCATTGAAGGCTCCAAGTTGTATTCTTCCCTCATGATCGTGAAATAGTTGTGCCCCTTCTCTACAAAGCCAGAGTGGCTGCAAGCTGAGATGACACAGAGAAATGTTATGTCGTTAGGCTCTACATGAACCTTTCGCATTCCCTCAAATAATTCAACAGCTTCCTTTCCAAAGCCATGTGTGCCATATCCATCTATCATGGCATTCCATGTTGTAACATGCCTATCATCCATCATGTCAAATAGCTTTCTTGCTGTGTGAACTGCTCCACATTTTGCATACATGTCAACAAGTGCAGTGGCTACAAAAACATTCCTGTTCAAACAAGTTCTTACAGCAAATCCATGTATCCACTTAGCTTGGCGCAATACTGATAACTCAGCAAGAGCAGTAACAACACTTACCATTGTAAATGAATCAGGTTTGATGTTCATCAGATGCATTTTACAAAAGTGAGTTAATGCATCCATTACGCATCCATTTTGTGCATAGCCCAATATCATAGCATTCCATGAAACAAGTGTTTTTCCTCTCAAGTTTTCAAACAATTCAGCTGCAATATCCACTCTTTGGCACTTGCAATACATTGAAATCAACGAGTTAACAACTGCAACATTAGAACCAAGACCTAGTTGGTTGACTAGTTTGTGAACATATTGTCCAAGCTCAATATTCCTTGTTTCAGCACACGCATGTAAAGTGCTCATAATAGTCACATTCGTCGGTTTGAATCCTTCATCCAACATTTTCTGAAAGATGATAAGAGCTTCATCGTAATATCCATTCCGTGCATATCCATCTATCATAGCATTCAACGATACAACCGTCTTAGAATCCATCTTATCAAAAACCAACCTAGCAGTACCCACTGACCCACATTTAGCATACATATCGACCAAAGCAGTCGAGACATTCACAAGCGACTCAAAACCATTTCTGAAAACATATCCATGAATCAACTTCCCCATTTTAAAGGACCCAATTGCACCACAAGCAGGCAAAATGGACACAATCGTAACCGAATCCGGCCTATTACACCCTTCCTCTTGCATCCTTAGAACCAACTCCAACGCTCTCTTTGACATCCCATTTTGTGCATATCCTGAAATAACCGTATTCCAACAAACCAAATCCCTCTCAGGCATTCTATCAAACATCTTATATGCATCACCAACCATCCCACATTTAGCATAAAGGTTCACAACACTAGTCATCGCAAACAAACTATCTGAAAACCCATGAAGAATCAACTGCGCATGTACCTGTTTACCCTTCACAACATCAGAGTTATCTGCACAAGCTTTTAACAAATAGCTAAAATTGTATATTACCGGAGTTACATCATCATATCTCAAACGAGAGTAAAAAGCCAAAGAAGAATCCAAATTAGAGTGATGGGTATGGCCTTTTAGCATCGTATGATACATGGGGTCAACTTTTAGTTTAGCAAATTCAAAGACTTTGGTGGCATCATTAAGGCTACCATATTTGGTGAATAAGCTAACTAATTTTGTTTCAAAAAGGTGTTCTTTATAGAGACCGTTTTTGATAATGTGAGGGAGAATTTGGTGAAGCTCTTTCATGGAATTGCAGAGTTCCAGGAGGATTGCTGTTGGGTGTTTGTATATATGTGATGGGATGTGGACCCTTTGAGATAGAAACGGCGGCTGCGGAATCGCCGCCGGTGGTGATGGAGTGATGGAGCGTGCCAACAGCGGGAAACTCATGAAGCTTACTGATTCTTCACTGAAATCTACTGATAGAGTAAAGTACCACTTCCAAAGCGCAGTTTATAATCGAACTGTTATCTCCATTAATATTCATTATCTTTTACTAGCTTTTATTTCTAGCAATGCAATCACTTGAAAGACCTGATTTTTTTTGGTTGATGATCAACCAGTTAACTCTATAAATAGTTTATCCTCTCAATGTGATGTAATGAATGAGGTTGTTCCTTTGTAATTGGACCGTGTGTGGCGACTCAGTGGCGGATTCAAGATTTAGAGTCCGTGGGTGCCAAATGGGATTCGAACCTGCAACCTCAACCTTCTAAAGTTGTCCTCCTACCGTGGCACCACAAGTCAATTTTGTTCTGTGGGTGGCATGCTTTATATTTATATAAATATTATATATATACCTATGTATATATAGAGTTTCCGTCGAAGTTCGGGGGTGGCGTGACACCCCCACAGCCGTTCATAGATCCGCCACTGTGTGGCGTGAATCCAAATTCATCAAGCTGCTTCAATGTGAATATAGAAAACCAGATGAAAAATTTCAAAAAATCTATAAATAGTTTATTTACTCCACCAATGTCTGTCAAAATGATACTAACAAAGCCCTACGTTAATTACTTTAAGGGGGTGTCCATGATTCCACCTTTTAACATAAAATTCATCAGGTACATTAGAAATAATTAGAGAAAGGTAAAGAAAACCAAGACTAAAAGGAGTATATTATACAATGTAAATTGAACCACAACATTAACAAATGAGAAATCTAGTAAGTAGGATCAAGAAGAGAATTCTTCTCTCCATGAATTTAGTTCACGAGACAAGTAGAATCTCTTCATTCTTTGACTCAATTGAATATTTACATACGAAAGCTTGTGCTCTTCCTAAAAAAAAAAAACGAACTTCAACTATGTTATTAATACGCAACTGCCTCCCTCATTTCTTTTTGGAAGCACTTGCTTATTATTACATATATATATAATATATATATACAACATTGCTTGCAAGTTTCCTATTTGAAATACATTTTTAAAATTGGAAACACATCTTTCTGAAGCATTTTGCCACTTTAACGCTGGAAAATGCCTTGCTTCCAAAAAAACAGCCGGCATTCTGTGCCTTAGCTAGCATGCCATAACCTATACGAGATTCTACCCTTGTATGTATGGGCAAGTTTAATGAAATTCTTCCATTCTGGAAAAAGAATGTTGCTAATTCTGGACCGCGCTTGTAGGCTTGGCTTTTCATGGGAGAGAACAATGTGAAGGATGCTCTACTCTAGAATTAACAGCTACCCGTATATTGTCATTCTTTTTTGTGTCCTAAGCCCTCTGCAGAGTTATGGTTCAGGACTTTGTTGACACAATAGCAGGCGGACTTAGTTCAAATGGAGTCTTGCCAAGTTCAGAATAACTTCCTACGCATATGGTATCACCTCTACCATGCCATATGCCATCTTGGACATTGTTCATCTCTAATGTTCTAGCTTCCTGTTCAATAAAACAACAAGAATTCAAAATCGATTAACAAAGCAAAATATGCCATCAAACTTCACAAACTACAGATCCCGAGTGACTTAGATTGTGTTTTTCTGAGTCAATCAACTTATTCAGCTTCTCTTGGGACCGAGGGGTGAGAAAAAGCAACAAGATACACTTCACCCGACCAGGCAAAGAAACTCTACTTTGTTGTTATTTAATGCAGGTTGAATAATAGAACGAACCTGAGATAAGGTGCAGCATGGACAGGTTAAATGGAAGATGCAATCATCCAAAGAACTATCACCCTGAAGAAGTATTAAAAGAGCAAGAGTTATCACAACAGTTAAAGAAAAACAATAATAGATGCAAGTAAAATACTGTTGTCCTTCCAAATATGTTACCACTCATCAGCATTTCAGTAGCTCAAAATACAAGAGAAGATGTAAAAACCAATAAAGAGGGTAGGTTAAGAAGAAAAAACCGAAGATAGATTATTATTTATAAAAACTGGACTGCAGAGAAACCATTACTAAAACTAGAGAATAACAAGCTATACGATAATTCAACCAATTCCCACAAATAGTTTGTGCAACTCTAGGAATATGATCAAACAGGAAGAACTGAAAAGTAGCAGTAAAAGCGAAAATAGGGATTAAAGTACTCACTCTGATATTGAACTTGTTTCTCATTTTTGTGCGGTGATAACCCATATATACTCCAACTAAGATTATAAAAGCACCACCAACATATAAAAAGCAGTGCTTCTTTGTGACAATGAACGCCAGAATGCTTAGGAGAGAAACAAGAGTGAGAATCAAATAAATAGAGCCCTGCAGACCAGTATAAATCTGTTTCAGTACACGAGTATTTTATGGAAAGCTGACAAATCAATGTTAAAGTACGAAGCAGTAAAATTTTCTTCAGTTCCAATCTAATCTCGCCAACATTTTGAAAACAGGTAACATGAAACATTTATACCAGACATTGTGTAATGAAACTAAGAGTGCAATATATTTCTTTCCACATTAATATGTATATAATGAACAATCATTAAGACCCTTCTAGACCTAACCAATCTATGTTGACCAAGTAAATTAACAATATAAGATAGATTACTGCGAACTAGTAAAACATAATTTAAAGAGGAGATAGCAAATCACTATAACAGAAACAAATTTAAAGATGACTTTGACCACGAGGGATCGCCAAGAACTCGAGGGGGTGGGTAGGTCAACAACTAGTACGGATTTAAATGTGAAAAATATTGACCTGAAGAAAGCAGGAACCGAAACCAGCACGTTTCATATTCTTTCCAAATCTGTACCAGGGGCAGCTGCAATACATGAAGAAAAATTAAAATCAGCACTATAATCCCAACCACTAAATTGATGATGAATTAAGAACAAGAGCAAATGTTCATTTGCAAGTAAAGCATTCAACTTTTCAAGTAGGAAAGGAATTGTTCAACAATAAGTCAAATTTGGCTGACTATTAATTTTCCTCATTTAATAATAGAGGATAATAAGTAATGGTTCCCTATCAGCTGAAATCAATTGCACATTCTCAAAAAGGTTTGCCTTACAATTTTGAATCTAGCAATTTCACAAAAGGAAATGACAAGAAAAAGCCAATCCTGGATTTTCAAACGCGAAACCAAAATTAGAAACTAAGAATTAAAAAATCAATCAATCAACCACCCTCTATCTCTAACTGGTGCATGTCGGATTCTTCAAAAGTACTTGGGCATCAAAAGTGAAGAGTGCACGCAACTTAGCTTGAAACTAAAAAGCTACAGCGCCTTTTTCACCGGCCGGCGGGGAGAGAGAAACAAACCAGTTTTTGAAGTTTCATTAACAAAACCAAATAAACGAAAAAAAGTACAAATGGAGGACCAGAAAACAAACACACAATAAAAGTAAGAAAATTTTAACCAAAATAAAATCCAAAACCCACATAATAAAATGATGGGAAAACAAATAACAGAAAAGCTAGAAAAAAAAAATAAGAGGAAAAAACTTTACCAAACAGACTGAAAAGCAATTCGACGGTCGTCAAGACAATCACAAAAAAGCTCTCCTTCCCACATCCTCAAAACCCCTCCACCATAATCATAACCCATAGCATTTTCTTCATCCCCATTCAAATTCAACTTCACCCACTGCCCCTTTTGTGCTTGCATCGCCACCGTGGAACACAACAAATCAAAATCCACCACCGTCACCCCTTCCGACAACAACCTCTGCCCCTCTCCCTCTTCCTCCTCCTCCCCTCCTCTTGCTTTCTCCGCCGCCATTTCTCTCTTTTCAAACACATCCATTATCGATCTGGGTGCTCTCTACCAAAAATTGCTCCTTCCTATTAAAAAAAAATTATATAACGAAACAGAGTATAATTGTGGATTAAGGCGAAATATTTGGGCCGAGTAGAACGGAAGAGATATATATAGATGATTAAAATAGTTGAGATCGAGACACAGTTTTTTTAAGGGATATTGTGGAACATAATTATAGTGTATTTTATTTTATTTTTAGAGGAGGATATGGTGGCTCGATAATTGGTGGCGATTTTATTATTGCCAATAAAAAAAGGTATTTTGGTTGGCGCGATAAATAATGATGTGGGCCCGACGGTACAGCTGGTGACACGGATATAGCTTTTGAGGGATTTTTACTTGCCAAGTTAACGGTCAAAATTATTGTACTACTAACATTATTTATTAACGCATCATTGGGAGAAAAAACAAAAGGTATAATACATACATATTTCATTTATAAGACCAAACTATAACATGTTTCAATTAAATATCTTTTAACACATGATAAATATTTTTATAAACATTTCAAACTAAAAATTCAAAAAAGTTTATGTGTGAGAAATAAGTTTACCATTTATAATGGATCCGGCTCCCCTCTCCATTACCCCTTTCCTCCATTTCGTCAAGTGCACGTCTAGATTAGAGACATGTGTCATATTTAAAGTTTAAAGGTCAATATTATATCATATGAATAAATATCATAATCATAGTTAAGTCAACTAATTTGAGAAAACTACTCTCCAAATTTGGTAAGAATTACAATATATTCCATACAAAATTTGATATTTAATAATATCTTTAAATTCATCTTATATTTTTAATTTACAATTTAACATTTAAATACAGAAATATAATATGAAATTAATGATTATAACTCAAAAGTCACTCAACTATTGATATTTTACTTAGAAAGTCACTCAACTATTGATATTTCACTTAAAAAGTCACCCAATCAATTTAATTTTTTTTTTTGTTGAAATCTAATTTTATTTTAAACTATTTTTACTATAAGAAATAAGAAGATTTCTATTTTATTTATCTTACTAATTCACTCCAATTATTTAATTTTTTATTTTTTTTGAAAAACATACTGTAGCAATAGACAAAAAAAAATCATTTTCCGTTCTAGCAATTGTTTAGTAGAATAAAATAAGGTGAAAATGATCCAAAAAAAGGAGAACATTGGAATTGATCAGAAGTAATTAAGAAGTAATCAAAAGAACGGACAATAACAATCTCCATAATTCGCGAGGAAAGTGCCTAATAGAAATATTTTATCATATGTCTAAGTTCGAGTTGTGGAAATAACTTTTTACAATAGGCCATTGTGTTATGACTTGTTTTAGACCCCACACATAGCGAAAGTTTAATGTATTGAATTTTTTTTTTCTTCAGATGCTCATTTGAAACATGTCATAATTTGAATGTTTGTCGATGTATTTGAGCCAAAAAGTTATTAATGCATCATGTGAATTGTTGTATTAACAAGAGTATTAATTTAGTCTTATGATCATGAGTTTTTTTTTGTTTATTCAATAAAAAAAAGTCAACTATATTTAATAAGTGAACTTAATTAGGAAATGACTGAGAACGAACTTGTTAATAGTATAATTCTAATACGATATTGTATTACGTTTGGTTGTACTATTTTCTTATGAACTTTATTATTTAATGTAAAATTTAATAAAAATTGCAGTGAACTTTTAAAGTCCTGGACCATTTCAAATGATATTAATAATTATTCGGACAACTGAATAAATAGGTTAATTATAAGTTGAAAGGGGTTGACTTAAGTCTGAATTGTGAGCCAGCCTACGTTGCACCTACTATTAGCTGTATTTTTTAATTATTATATATGCTTGGTGGGCGTTGTGCTAATTAATAAGATTATTATTGTGGTCTCAATCATTATTTCTCATCAACTAAATGTTCTTTGATTTCCTTGATTATAAATTATTAATTTGTTAGACCAATAATTTATTACTGGATGTCTGGATCCTTTTTTAGATAAGTTTTAGATTATAATTTTGTCTATATATGAAAGTGGGATCAGGAATATTATGAATAATGAATTAATTAACTTGTAGTATTCAAATAATTATGTTAGTTGTAGCTAATGATATAATTCTTATTTTGTATATTTGATTTGTTTGGACGAGGATGGGAAGATAATATGAAAAATTATGATTTTACTCATGGAAACACATATTCTAATTAAGAAAATGTTAGTTGATAAGTTTTACTGTTCATTAGTCTAATTGAGAAAATAGTTAAAGCTTATGAATTCTATAAGACTAATTAAAATATTTTATAAAAGATTACTGAGTGACCCATCGAGCTAATTCAATATCAAATAAGTTGCAGCTCTAGCCTCTAAGGAAAGTTAGAAGCAACAAATTCAATCGAGTTCATCACACATGATTCAATTTTCAAATATATTTGTATATTACTATATTTGATAAAAAGAACACATTAATTTTAAATCTTAAATTAGTCGGATTTTATTTCAACCAAGAAACAGGATGAACCCAACAAGAGGGAAATGAACAAAGAAACAAACCCGAAAGCAAAGAAAATGTTTTGACAAGTAAATGATCCTTTCACGTAATACAACTAACTTGCCAGACCCTATTTTGTAGATTTCTGTTCACAAAAGAAAACGTCTCTTTTTCTATTTTCAGTTATGATACAAATTAAATTTCGTCTCAACGTTAGATTCTTGTTTGATGATTTTTCACTTTTTCAACAATCAAATATAGCATAAGTACTCATCTAAATACGTTTTCTTAAAAAATCATTAAATATAATGCATAATTTATGAAACTATCTTTAATTGATAGACGGCTCCTGAAAATTGAGCACTATTAAGAAGATGGAGTATAAAGGTATAGTTATAAAAACATAGGAATAGTAATTTTTGTTTTGATAAGGTGACACTTATTTTGAGACAGATAGAAGACGGAGAAAGTAATTAGTACACAAATTGCTAGGAGTTTTTCGGGAACAAATTTAATGGTTAAAAAGAAAGTTCAAGAGTTTAATTATATTCATTAAAAAGGTCTTAGTTGATTCAATTCATTAACCACTATGAGTGGAGTACTATATTTTATTGTTAATTTATTACTACTGAGTACTGATAATACAACTTGATAATAATAATAGTAACAATACAAAGAAATTGGACGGGTATAAACTATAAAGCATATAACAAAAATATATTTATTTCTTGGTCATAAACCTTCCACCCCACCCCACCCTTAAGAGGTAGATAGGAACAATTTAAATATTTAAAGAAGCCGATTCTAATTCAAGTTGTGAAGATGGTTCATTTACAATATCATAAAGTAGGTAACCAAAAACAACTTTTAGAAATAGAAATGTAATATTAAGTGCCTTTTAACCTTTCAAAGATTGGAAATGATTCTTGATCAAGTCCAAGTTGATTTACGTCTATCATTTTATTTTTATAAAACAAAAACAAAAACAAAAGCAAAAGCAGTGGTAGTGGTAGGAACCAAAGTGGCCTAGTGGACAATGACTAATGAGTTGTCTTTTGGATAAGATTCAGATGAACTACCCTTTAACTATTGCACATGAATTGTAATCCTTTTTTTTTTTATAATAAAGTTGCAACATTATTCCCCTACAGTGCTTAAATGTTGGCCTATATATGAACCAAATTGACCACACTATTCTATTTAGTATTTAGTTGTGGCCGACTAGGAGAATGTGTTTTTCCTCAATCTTTTGCTTACTGATTTTTTTATAATGTCATTTTTATATCTTATAAGATTTTTTGAGCGGCTCACATTTGACACTCAACATACTTTCTTTCACTTGATTAAATAACTCATGGAAGTGCTGTGTAATTTTTTAATAAATAAATTTGAATAAAGATGATCGTTGATATCCATCGAATCGAAAATTTCTGTTTTGTTTTTGTTTTTTTAGTATTTTGGTTGGTCAGATTCCATTTTTCTTTTCTTTTAAGTAGTTACATTTATCGTATTAAATGTTGTAGATAAAATTTGATCGACTTAAGTGTGAAAATTAATTTAACAGAAAAAAAAAATTGCAATCAATTAAAGGTCCAAAGATGCGCAACTAAGCTAGCGTTTGGCCATAGATTTCCAAATATATTTGGCAAATATTATTTGGGTGAAGATTTGGGTGAAATTTCACCATGTGTTTGGCCATAGTATTTGGGAAATATATTTCAATTTTTTAAGAAATATGACTTATGCCCATAAGTTTTTAAAACTATCAAAACTAACCATAAATTTGTATTACATAGCAAAATAGAAATGTCGCGTAACAAGATTCATGACTTCCGCAACAAATCAAAAGGCATCATTACAGTAAATAGTCGCATCGTTAAAAAAGATGCATGGGTATAAAAGCTCTTATACATGTATGCTCTTTATAATAGAAAAAAATATTAATTGAGTTAGTTAGCAGATGGAGATTTGATTGAGTTGGTTGGTGTTAAATAAATAAAGTGTTTTTTGTAAAAGATAAAAGTTTGGTGTTAAATTTGAATTTTTAAAACTTTCCAAATAATGAGATTTGGCCCAAATACTAGAAAAAACTGTATTTAGGGAATTTGGGTTATTTGCCAAAAAATTTGCCAATAATGAGAAAGTGTATGGACAAACAATATTTGCCAAATTTTTCCCAAGTTTCTTGGGAAATCTATGGCCAAACGGGCCCTAGTGAACCAAGGCATTCCATCAATCAATCAATCAGAGGCGTATGTATATGAAGGGGAGGGGGTTCACATGCACCCATCCTCCCCTTCCTAACCCCTATATAATACTACTATTTTTCTAATTATCTTTTTAAATTTGTATTGGTGAACCCAAGGTTAAAAAGAATGCTCTAGTATATTGATAAGTAAGTACAAATAGGGGGTGCATAACTTATAGATTTGTGGTTCAAATTTTTCTATCCACATTAACATTTTTAATTTTTAATTAATATAACAAAATGTGCCACTTTTCATAGATCTTTTTAATAATTTATAAATAAAAAGAGGTTCAAATACCCATATTTTTAGGTTGCATTAGCTATGTCTAGACCTTAAGCTAGAAGTGTCAATAAAGTCAAATTATATTTTTTACTTTCTTTTTCTCCTTTCCTTCTTTATTTAGACGTTTTTCTTATTTATTTATTTTAACTTTTTCTTTTGACTTTTCAAAGCCCTAAACTAAAAGGTAAAAAGGAGTAAAGACATCATATTGTTCTTCTTTTGGCTTCATTCCACATTTCCACTTTGTTGTTCATGGTGAAGGAGAAGTGAGATTTGAGAACAAGTAA